GGAACTACGAATTCTAACTCTTTTCTTACTGGGATTTTGTGCATGTATGTGTGTGTTATCTGAAACCCAATGACAGTGGCTCTCATCGTGGGATTTGACCTCCGAGGACTCTGGGAGGAGGGAGGATTGCTTGAGCTCAGGAATTGGAGACCAACCTGAGCAATAGTGAGACCCCATCTGTACTGAAAATAGAGAAAAGAAAATCTAGGCATTGTGGTGGGCATCTATAGTCCCAGCTATTCAGGATACAGAGTTAGGAGGATCACTTGAACCCAAGACATGAAGTTGCTGTGAGCTTGGGTGATACCAAGCCTTGTAGTAATGTCCTATGGGCCACAGAAGTTGATTGTGTGGGATGGTCTATAATGTAGCACAGATTTTCTCACTATCTAATCGTCTGTTTGATTTGACTCTGGTCATTTTTCTACCTCTTCAGCAAGTTCACGTCACTGGGAATCATAAGAATGTGCCTTTCCTGGTCCTTCCTCCTTTGGGGTTGAAGTGGACCTGCTTAGTCATGTAGAGAGCCACACAGCTTTTGAAAGGTCCTGGGAAAGTCAAAGTTGGACCCTGCTTAAGAAGAGATACAACATTAGGTACTTGAAACTGTAGTGAACAGAGCAGGGAGAAGTTTAACTTTCATCTGGTCACCCTCAGGGAGTAAGGAAGGGTCTTTTTAATCCTGGCATGCACATTTTAGTGTCATCCCATTTAATAAGTTATTGTGGAAAAACAAAACAAAACAAAACAGAGAGCCAGGATGACTAAAAAACAGGCCTGCCTAATAAACAGATTTGGGGCCAGGCAGAATGGCTCACGCCTGTGATCCGAGGACTCTGGGAGGTGGGAGGATTGCTTGAGCTCAGGAATTGGAGACCAACCTGAGCAATAGTGAGACCCCATCTGTACTGAAAATAGAAAAAAGAAAATCTAGGCGTTGTGGTGGGCACCTGTAGTCCCAGCTATTCAGGAGGCAGAGTTAGGAGGATCACTTAAACCCAAGATATGAAGTTGCTGTGAGCTTGGGTGATGCCACAGTACTCTAGCCTGGGTGACACAGCAAGACCCTGTCTCAAAAAAAAAAAGAAAGAAAAAAAAAGGAAGAAAAGGAAGAAAGAAAAGAAAACATTTTAGAGATCCGAAACGACAAATTTATTTCAAAATTGGTGCTTCTGAAATTTTTTCTTCACAGGAGGAATAAGTTTTAAATAGCTATGTGAAAAGTGGATCATGGGAAACTAATCTTTGGAGACCATTCAAGGACTGTGTGTTCATTTATTTGCCTTGCTTAGAAGTTCATTGTCATTGCTTAAAACTAATTATAATCAAGTGCTAACTCATCTCACCTGGACCAATTCCTGCTTTCCAAATGAAAAGAGATTAGATAGTGACATCAGTTAATTAAATGTAATTCTATCTGAACAAAGAAAAGGACGGTTATAAAGACAACTATAATCCCAGCTATGCTGGAGGCTGAGGTAGGAGGATCACTTGAGACCAGGGGTTCAGACTATCCTGGACAACGTGGGGAACCCCCTTCTCTAAATAAATAAAGTATGAAGACAAATATTAACACATCAAAGTCGTGTCGATGGGGTAAACTTACTTAAGCAATAAGCAAATCAGAACAGAAAAAAAGATATCAAATTAAGAAAATAAACATATATCAAATTTTTAGTAACTGGGTATTTCTCAGTTTCTCTAAATGATGTGTTGGAGATGAAAGTGGGAATATACATGCACCACTTAACAAAAAAATTGCTTTATGACAACAGAAAAAATCAAATTTATAAGCTTTTGCCAAATGAAATCTGCTACCCATCATTTAGGTAAAATTATACTGGATCCATGTTAATCCCATGAGTCGATGTTCTCAAATGAAGCTTGTTGGACATTTTTTTTTTCTGTCTGAGAGTGAGATGTTCTTGTAATTGGGGACAGCTGTGGTGACAGCATTAATTAGGCAGGCTTGTGGGACACTTGCCGCCCAGCCGCTGGCCACTGGACTGTGAGTTCCTCCAGCATTCTCTGCCAGGGCGTGTGCCTTTACACCTTGAAAGAACAATGATCTGATAGGACACTCTGGCTGCCGCGTCCTCACGTGGGGTTATCACGTTTCTGTGACCTCGGGAGTGAGACACAGCGTTGTTCACCCTTGTGGCGTTTGTCATGTGACGGATAGAACCACACAGTTCAAAAGAATGGCTTTTTTTTTTTTTTTGGTACAATGCCATTCGCAAGTATTCTATTTTATTTCCCCATAAATCATCAGAATAGCTCAGAAAATGCAGCAGCTTCTCCTGTCTTCTTTCTCTTCCAGACTCTCTTTTGCATTTGGAATAAGCGCAGAAATCATCTGTCGTGTAGCATGTCCCGGGTTTCATCAGAAAAATACAGGCGCTATTGATTTATCCATAAACTAAATCTTCAGCACATTTCAACTATAAAATACAGAGAATGGCGAGGGCTTCAGTGTATTGTCCAGTTCTGATTGCTACAGCTAGCAATTCCAGTACACGTTGACTAACAGGGGTGAAAGTGGGCACGCCTGTCTTGTTCCAGATCTTACAGAAAAAGCTTCTGTTTTCCCCCCATTCTGTATGATACTGGCTGCCTCCGACTGACTCTGACAGCTCACTGCTGCCTGTATACCTCAGCTGGATTTGGATCTGCTAAAACGCTATTTGCACTGCCCAGTTATCTCAGCCCTACTTTGAAGCCTGGTCCCGGCGTATTTCCTGGTTAGATTCAGTTTGCTGCTAGTGATACAAAGAAATCAGTGTGAGAATGTTTTGTAGCAAACTATTGAGGAGTCCCTGAATTCCATAGTGACTTCTCTTTCAAATGAAGGCACTTAGATGATTTGCCTGTTCTCAAAATGTCCTTCCTGACCAATGACAGTCCCTTCTCAGCTCGGTGAAGGAGGATCAGGAGTATTCTGTCTTCAACCTGATTCAGCTGGAGCTCGAGGCAGGTCGAGCATGGTGTCACCACATGTGCCAACAGTGACCTTGTTGGGTGACTCTTAATGTAACTCAGCCCTGCCCCTCGCACCGGGAGCAGGGGAGTAAGGCCCACGTGTGTTCTGAAATACGCTCGCTGCCAGAATTTGCTGCCGTTTACCCAGCTCTATTTACACATTTAATCTGATAAGACCAATTTTCCCTTGTACAGCCAAATTCGTGAGTGTCGCTCCGATGGCCAGATGGCAGAGTATAAACTTGATCCGCTCTGTTCAGACCGTGATCGTCTTTGTGAGATAGAGCAGTGAAGGAGAAAGATGATGGGGAAGGAATTCTGGAGACTCGGCCGTCATTCGTCTACCCCTAGCGCGATACTCACGAAAGGACATCCTTCCTGGCCGAGTGATTAATGGTATTCGTGTGGCTTTCAGTAACTGACATAATTGTCAGTCACCCGTTTACACTGTGGGATTTGCACATGTGCAAGATGAGCCTTTTAAAGCTGGTTAGGCCGGGAAACCTTCCCTGGGATCGCAGCTGAATGCTCAGTGTTCCTTGATAATATTTTGCAGGTTTCCTGTTTAATTTGTTCGATGTGCTGAGACTCTGCAGATTAACTGCATAAACACAGGGGTAATGATATGCACTAGCTTTGCATTGTAAGATCTTTCAGGGACCGAAAGTAACAACTTATCTAGTGTCACATGCTATCAGCGTATCTCCGCAGCGCGCACGTGCTTGACATTTGTTTCCTCTTTTTAACAATACAGTGCTGTGTTTGCTAGAGCAGCGCTGATTGTATATGAAAAATAAGGGGACTCTAGGTGATTAAAGCAAGAGGATTGCTTAGAAGAGTGGCTCCTTTATTGCCGATTCATTTTGCTTTTATCACGAATATGGATTCACCCATTAAGTGACTGGAATAAATGCACATGGTGCACATGGTGCGTTAAGTTTTTGTGTGGTCAGAAAAACGGGATTGGCACTGCAGTTTTTTTCTATATTACGTGACATATCAAGTATGAAAACTTTTTAAGTCTATCTAGTATACCCACTTGCATTGAGTTACAGTCAGAAGGCTGATCTTTTTAAAACCTCTAAAACACATACCGCCTGTAAGAAGCAGTATTTTTAAAAAGCACCTGTGAAGTGCCTGGCATTGCTCTGAGGGTTTTTGCCTTTGTTTTCACAGGCTCTTGGTTTTTGCACTTGACAGAGTCTCTGCCTGTGTCGATGCTTTTCTAAGGGTTCATATGATGTTCATATGAATGTCAAGCAGGTTTGAAATAGACTCGGGTGCAGACTCCTTAAGACTTAACACTGTCATTGAATTATTTCAGGGTGTGGAACAAACCACCTCTAGAAACACACTGAAAGAAAAATTGTGAACTGCGGTAGACCAAGTACAATTCATCAGGCTTAAGATTCTCAGACGCTTCTTACATTTGAAGCCTTAGTTTAATGTTGGGCTTGCCTTTAACCAGTTTTAATTAACAGGCCCTTTACTCTTAGAATTGAAAGACAAGCAAAGATTCGTTTTGTAGTTTTTAAATGTAGTGAAAATATTGACCCCCAAGTTTGGACCCCATCCCAGACCTTAATAAAGTAATACCTGGGCGTTACAAAGTATTTGGTATAGTTTTTTTTTTTTTTGTAACAAAATAAAGGAGGTAATTTCATACGAGTAAACTATATGATTAATTATTTTTATTAAATCATACCTTTGTCTATATGTCTGAGAAATGGGTATATGTCTGAAATGCATTCCATTAACATGGCTATTTTGTAATCTCTGATGGAAGAAAATTTATTCTATGGAAAATTGTCTCACCACGTATAGGGGAGAAAAGTGTGCAGACCACACAGGCTTGGGTCCCAGTTTGCATTTTTAGCAAGAATTTGTGATGTTTTCAGGGCTAGTCCAGTAGGGTCTATACCCAAGGAGACACGGGATTTATATGACTGCCAGGTTTGCTGGATACTGGAACTTGGTCTCCGCCCAAGAGTGAGTGAGGAGCTTCGGTACTTCCCGAGAAGATGCCCCCGACAGGAGAACCCCCTCCAGGGGTCACAGCTGTGGTCGTGTGGCTCTGTTAGTGGTACACAAGTTCGTTTCTCCATTTATGCAATGGAGGATTTGGAGTTTACTCCTTAAAAGAGGTACTTTCTGAGAAGCTGGGTATCCTTATGTCATGGAAGTCACCCCTGATTGCCCCACAGGGACGTTACTACAAATGTACTTCTAGGGGTGCAAAGTCAGAGCAGCACTTCTGATAGATTCGAAACTACGTGTCAGAGAGAGAAACTTGGGCTAGCCAGGAGAGGTGTCCTTGAACCCCAAACATCAAGAAATGCTCATACATCAGGCTCAGCTGAAGGAGTGGGTATTTTAGCTAAGAAGGACCTTACATCAGTGCTCTTTTCCCCAGTGCTTCGCACGGTATCTCTCAGGGCAGAGGATGTATCAGTTTCTGCCTGTGAGCCCCAAGGCCAAGGACAGATGCTGACCTGTCCGAAGAGGGAAGTTCTTTCCATCAAAAGACTTTGTGGGATTGGAGCCCTAAAGTCATGGCCGTGAGGTTGGACCAAATGACCAAATGAGGATTTCAGTGCCGTTCCACACACAAAATTTGAATGGCTTAAATTATTAATTAAGTTGTCAATTACCGGCACGAACATTTGCAAGAATTTCTTTCGTGACTACCAACCTAACCAAGTCTTTAAAAGTACTTAGTGATGGCCTGGGTCTTTAATGTCAGAAGGACAACACAAAAAAGGCCGGAAAAGAAAGAGAGACCAGGACTCTTTCTGTTGTTCTTCTGTCTCTCTGTACGCGTTTGTAGGTGTGTGTATTAATGTATTTCCTACTTGCTAAATCATCTGAAGTTTGGTTGAAAACATCAGGACATTTCACCCCTAAATACTTCAGCGGATGCCTCCTGAGAACAAGGAGATTCTTTTGCATCATCAAGATGCGATGATTACACTTGAGAAATTTAATTTTGATGCATTATTATTATTTGTTTATTTATTTATTTATTTTGAGATAGACTCTCACCATATCACCCTCAGTAGAGCGCTATGGCATCACAGCTCACAGCAATCTCAAACTCTTGGGCTCAAGCGATTCTCTTGCCTCAGCCTCCCGAGTAGCTGGGACTACGGGCACCTGCCGCAATGTCCGGCTACTTTTTCTTTTTTTGTACTTGTGGTTGTCATTGTTTCAGCAGGCTGGGGCCAGGCTTGAACTTGACAGCCTCCTTGTATGTGGCTGGGGCTCTACTCACCAAGCTATGGTGCAGAGCCTGATGCCTTATTTTTATTCAGATTTCCCCAACAGCCCAATAAGTCTTTAGTAACTGCTTTTCTCCTTGAAGCAGGCAGTGGACACACGTTACATTAGTTGTCCTGTCTCTTTAACTTCCTTTGCACCAGATGACTTTCCCGGCCTCCTTGCCTCATTCATGATATTCACATTTCTAAAGCCTTGAGCAGTTTGCTTGTAGAGTGTCACTCAATACGAATCTGTCGGATTGTTTCCTTGTGTCTGAAATCAAGATTGGTTTCAATAAACAAGAAATATTAACAAGGGAAGAGAGAGGGAGGAAGGGGGGAGAGAGAAAGAATAAGAGCAAAGAGGAAAAAAGAGATGCAGACAGGTGTCACGATAAAATGTTTATCCAAATTAAAGAAAACCGTCTAGTGGACATGCCCAGGGTGTCCTGATACCCAGGTGTATGGAGTGGTATGTGAGGGGACGAGGTGCTGACTGAGAGTTAAGGGTGTCGGAAGTACAGCCGACCCTCGGACAATGCAGGGGTTAGGGGACCAACCCCTCTGAATTGAAAATCAACGTATAACTTTGTTTCTTTATTTTAATGTTGAATATCCATCTATATTTTTATTTTTTGGTCTTCTTTTTTATTATCAATTTTTGAAACTAAATCACAGCTGTGTACATTCATGCATTTATGGGGTACAATGTGCTGGTTTTATATACACTTTGAAACACAACAAACTGGTTAACACAGCCTTCGCTGCACTTTCTTAATCGTGTTAAGACATTTATACTCTATACTTAGTAGATTTGACATGTGCGCTTGTAAAATGGACCATACTTTTCCAACGTTCCAATGGTTTTTGCTGCAATAGTTGATTAACACGTTCTGTATGTATATATATCACATGCTGAATTCTTACAGTGAAGTAGGCTAGAGAAAAGTTATTAAGAAAATCACGAAGGGAGAGAAAATACATTTGCTGTTCAGGAAGTGGACGTGCATTGTCCTAAAGGCCTTCGACCTCCTCATCTTCACGGTGAGTGGACTGAGGCAGAGGAGGAGGCAGAGGAGGGCTTGGCCTGCCTGTCGCGTGGACGGCAGAGGTGGGAGGACTTCTGGGTGTGAGTGGATCAGTGCCCTTCAAGCCCATGTTGTCCCAGAGTCAACAGCACGGGATGTAGGGCATTTTGTTTATTTAGAGGCCAGGGAATAAACCTTGCAAGTTTTGTTTGTGTTCCCAGTTAAATGTAAGATCCACTGGGCAGGGAACACTGAAACAAATTCTTTTAATGTATGCATAAAATAATAAGGCAATTTATTTCTTTAATATATGTAAACCTGTTTCTTTGGTGCCATTTAGCTCCAGCAGACCTGTTGCTTCCAAACCCTTCCCCAGACTCAACAAAATTAAGAATGATCTTAAGGGGTTAATGGAAATAGACACTGTTCCACATAGGTGAGAATGTAGCCTGTTTTTAAAAACCTCCAAAACAGAGATTCATAAACTACATTTTAAAAAGATGATCTCCATGAAAGCTGTTCAGAAAGTAAATCTTATTTTCAAAATGTCAAAAAAGGCAGACAAAGAACCCGACGTAATCATCAGGCACCAGAGGCTAAGAACAGCTGAGATAAGTTTCCTAACTTGCCAGTGTGCCTCCATCTCATCTCCCAGGTGTCAAATAAATAAAAAGCAGGGTGTGTAAGTGTGGGAATACTGCTAAGAAATCACAGCGTTCCCGTGGTTTTCTCTGTGATTTATTGGAACCTTCACCAGCTCATTCTTGACAGTTTGGGGATTTACGTGGGACGGGCAGCCCAGTTGTAGAAAAACTCGTACAGCACCTGAGCAGGGAAGTTACTGTAGTTGGTGTTCACATCTTAGGTGGCCCCCATGCTGTCCTGGGAGTCTTGCTCTGTGAGTTATCTGCTGAATCACTGAGGGATGCTCTCCTCTCCCCAGGCTTACTTTTTGGGATTTTCTGCCAATTCTAGAGTTGGCTTTTTCAATACTCAGTAGAAACTGAGAGTGGTTGAGATCTCAGGTGTTATGAGGTTGATTATGAAGTGAAATTGGCATGTAGAGAAAAATCCATTTGCCTATGCTTTTTAAAAACATTTTTATTATGAAAAAAAAATCAGACGTAATCTATAGAATTACACAAGAAACCACCACATATTATCAATTTCCATATTATCAGCTTCTTGGTAATTTTTTTTTTACCTTTATGCCTATCCATCCACTATCCAGAGGATGTGTTTTTTAAGCAGTCTTGTTTATGTGAGAATGGAATATAGGTGTGTCATGATTTCTCCAAGTTATGAACAAGTTTAAGTACTCGTGGCCTCTGTTGAGAAGGTGGAGAAGCCCCAAATCTAATCAGACTGATAATTTGATGTGCGTGAGTGCTGTAGTTATCCGGAAGGGTCATTTAGGGTGCATGGGATACCAACTGTGTAGGTCCAGGAAAAGCGTGATATCACCAAAGAATTTCTGTCTTTTGGCAAAAGGCATCCTGGTGGAGATGGATGAGTTGTGTTTTGGGCCCCAAGTCTCTGCAAACTTTGTAACCATGGATAAGTCAGCCACTTATCTCTGAAATTAAACTTCCTAATTAAAAAAAAAAAATTAGCGTGATGCTTTCTGCACTCACTCACGGAGCTGTGATAAATTGTGATTGGGGACGGGATCGTACCTGGTTGCCCAGTGTCCTATAGCACAGGCTGTCGGTTCTTTGAAATTATCAGTGTGGCGGGTCTTCAATGGCATCAGAGACTATAAAGGGGCAGAAGGTCACTAGAGTTTGTTTTTAGAAATAGTTTCGCACTCTAGGCTCTTTTTTTTCTGAGTATATTTTAGTTGAACGTTCTGTTTTTCTCCACGTTGAGATTTATTGTTTGCTCGCCCTTTGGGAATTGTTGTCCCTCTCAGTTCAGCAAAACTTTGGGGATGGTGCCGTGATCAGCCTGACCCGACGCTAAGGAGACTTTCTTTGAGAGACTGCCTGGTGATCAGAACTCTTCTCCTTCTCTTTTCTGTCTTTTAGCCTTGCCTCCCCGATTGAAAGAGATGAAAAGCCAGGAGTCAGCTGCAGGCTCCAAACTAGTCCTGCGCTGTGAAACCAGCTCTGAGTACTCCTCTCTCAAATTCAAGTGGTTCAAGAACGGGTATGAATTGAACCGAAAAAACAAACCACAGAACATCAAGATACAGAAAAAGCCAGGGTAAGTGGAACATGTGTAACAGCAGGGGCCGCCCCTTTTGATAAGGTGGCAGAACACGTAAGAATTCTTTAGACCCTCATAAATGAATTTGCAGTCAAACAGCATGGTACACGATCAGTGAAAGGGTTTTTCATTCTATAATGGCAAGAAATTGTTATCATCGCCCAGGAAAGAATCCAGAGTTTCTGATGCTTACAACTTCTGGGTGAGGAAAGGAAAGGATGGGTGGAGAAAGAATAGAAAAAGGGGGGAAGATGGAAGGGAGGAAGGAAGGTAGCATAAGTGGTAGATGTTAAAATCCAATCTCTTTAAAATAAAGAAATGCTGTTTAGAGTATCCGTGCCTTCTAATATGAAGTCCTGACTTCATTATAAGCCTTAACATGGGTAGAGTTGCAATGTCATCAGGCGGCTCTGAACTATTTTCAAACAAAGGGTTAATATACGTAGTTATATCTAGTGAGAATTTTTAGCCAAGAATTCTATTAAAGGACATCACCACTACAAAAGATTATCAAATAAGGTAAACTTGGTTAGCAAAGAATCTTTAAATTTCCTCCCCTCCTGAGGAAGGTTTCATGTGATTCTTGTGACAACCTGGTAAGGTGTGTTCTTTACTCTAGAATAATCCTGCTCTGTTATCCCTACATTCTTCATTTATTTCCCTATTTAAAATGGTTTCTTCTAATATCAGACTACATTTTGAAATTAGAGTGGGTACAGCAGGTTGGATTTCTGCTTCTCAACAGTCCCTTCAACGAGTCTGATGGTACGTAGTGGTTCTAAGCAGAGAATGCCAGTAAAATCTCAGGTGTGATAACAGAAGTCACAGAAAGATCTCGCCCTATCCTTTGAATTGATGTGACATTTACCAGAAAACTTTCCCGGGTTCATCAGCAAGTGAGAACGCAGGGCTTATAACGAGAATTTAATTTAACCTTTTCGAAGTACGTAGCTGCCCTGATAAGTATAATGAGGGTTTTTTCCCCTAGCTTCTGAGATTTTTATTAACTACCCTGCTTACTCTTGTTATTGATCATGTCAGCGAGATCTGTTGATTTGGAAGTATAATAAAGCATTAGAGAAAGGATACCACTTCTTGTACCGGATGGTATTTCAAAGCTAAAAAATATAGTAGTGTCAGAAGACACGGTGTTTTTGTATATAATCTTACATAATTTTTTAACAGCATTTCAATATGTAGTAGGGGCAGCTGAACAGTTAGCACATGGTGACTGTCTAATTTTGCAGATTGAGAAATTGAGGGCAAAAACTGTTTTATGGAGTCAACAAGTAAGAAACTCAGCAGCAACACAAATCTAGTTCTTGGGTTCCTTAAGGTTGCCTTCTGTCTTCAAAAATGAAGAGCATCCAGGATCAAGAACGTGTGCCTGTCGGGAGGAGGAGAGACAGTGAAAGAACTGAAAAGAGGAGAGGGGTTCTTCTAAAGAGGTGCAGCAAGGGAAAAATACGTTTAGATACTGGACTGAAAAGATTCTGGGTCTTTGTTTTTCAGCAGACAAGTTAGTAGCAAACAAAGTTGTCTGCAGGTACAGGGTAACCTCTCATGTATTGCTACGGGGTTGTCAAATCTATCGGTAATATTTAAGTACCCCAAAAGGCTTTATGCTAGGATAGGGTGACCAGATTTTAACATCGGTAAAGCGGGACAACATGGCGGGGGGAGGGGGACATGGGGCAGGGCGGGGCCTGACAACAATGCAAACTTTGATAAGCAGTTCTCGATAATCACTTCCCAGCAATTCCTTGTTATTATTACAGTTTAACATTATCAAAAATAATATAAAACTCATATCCTGGCGAAATAGCCACATGGCAGCCGAAAACCGTATATTCCCTTCTTGTTCTCCCACCCGTTCGTGCATTCTTTCCAAAAATCTGGACTTTTTAAAAATGCCACAGGATGCGAGACAAATTGTTCAAAAGTGGGACTGTCCCACCAAAATCGGGACATCTGGTCACCCTATGCTAGGAGCGTGCAGAAATCCAAGAGGGACAGGATATTAGGTCTGTGTGCAGCAAGCCATAACATTGCATAGAGATTATCTGCTTCGGCCTTAAATAAAACCTTAAGAATTCCAGAACTCTGTGCTGAAACGCTCTTAGAGGTGGGGAGGAGGGACAGAGGGAAGGGAGCTCCATCTAGGTTGAGGAGTAAAAGAAATTATCTAAAGACTGCAAATACTCAGTCTGCTGATACTGGAGAGAAGCAGATGAAGTTAGGTAGATGAGGTATAACATAAAGAATTCAAAACTGAGTAGAACGGATGTGCTTTGGAAAGATACACATGTCCTTAAGAGGTCATTTCTTACCTGGCTTGGATGACCTGTTCAGTCTCATTAGTATTCAGACCGGCGTCTTTATTTTGGCTTCATGGGTCCAGACAGCTAAGAACACTGTCTACATATTAAAAAAATCCCATTAAACCAGAAAGGCCAAGAGTTAGAAATTACTTCTATTAAACAGTAACCTTGCTAGAAAGAATTAAATGGAGAAAAATTTATTCAGGTGGTGTGACTGCAAATCACTCCTACAAAACATTTGACATACTTGATCTAAAAGTAAGACCACAGACTTTGTGCTGAGTGGACAGCTACTGGATAAGTGATCACCTTATCAGCTTTCAAAGTTGAGCATTTTGTCATTTTTGAAGTTGTACCTTTTTTTTTAAAAACATTGTAGTAGCAGATTTTGTTAAGGTTCAAGGATCCAACTGAATCTAAATTGAATTAACATTTACAAAGTACACTATTCAGTTTATTCTGTAAATATCAGTAAAATGAACATTATTCTTTTTTTGCAGTTTTGGCTGCACTTGAACCTGCCACCCCCAGTATATGGGGCTGGCGCCCTACTCCTTGAGCCACAGGTGCCACCCGAACATTATTCTTTTTATACCCATTAAAACATTAATATCCTGAGAATGAAGGAAACTAAATTTCTCCCTACGAATCACAGCAGTCAAGCTTAGATCTGAAATAGGCCTAAGCCTTGTGTGATTTTGTTTTATATTTATAGTAAGAATACAGGGCTCAGCTCCCATAGTATAGTGGTTAGGGTGCCAGCCTCATACACCAAGGGTGGTGGGTTCGAACCCAGCCTGGGCCATCTAAAAATAAAATAAAAAAGGAAACTTCTTTGGGCAGCACCTGTGGCTCAGTGGGTAGGGCACCAACCCCCTATACTGAGGGAGGTGGGTTCGAACCCAGCCCCAGCCAAACTGCAACAAAAAAATAGCCAGGTGTTGTGGCGGGGCACCTATAGTCCCTGCTACTCAGGCAGCTGAGGTAAGAGAATCGCCTAAGCCCAGGAATTGGAGGTTGCTGTGAGCTGTGACACCCCAGCACTCTACTGAGGGTGATAAAGTGAGACTCTGTCTCTAAAAAAAAAAAAAAAAGAATACAGGGCTCAGGCTTAGGGTAATAGCTTTAATAAAAACATAATCTTAATTTTCAGGTTCACCTGTGAGTTAATAATTTTTCATTACTAAGAAATTTAGGCTATTAATGTTTTGGAGTAGTTGGCTGGTTATGTGACTTAAGCTTTATCGTATGCTACGGTCAATCAAGCAGAAGTGGTGAATTTCAGGTTGAGATTTAGGATTTCCCTGGGATTGTCTTGGTTTAAATAAACATTGGCCTTTCTCAGCTCTTACCCCCACGCTCTTTGAACTATTTTCTAATTCTTAGTCTAAACTTTTTTCACATTTTATAATCTCAGTTATACAGAGCAGCCAGAATTTCCTTTTAATCCCTTAGTATCATGAAAAGATCTCACAGCATTATGCAGTTTCTAGTATTTTGTAAAATCCTGATCTTCTTTGACCAGTACGCCTGTAAACTATATTCCTACAGGCTCTTCTGTGATTTCAAGTTCACACGGGAGCCATCGTTTTATTAGACTAAGCCGGATGTGGGCCCAGTTAAAAGACTGGGAAGCTGCCCTCCCGTTAGGTGTCCGCCCATCCCTTTCTTCTTGTTTTCTTTGCCTGGTGGATGATTTTGATCAAGAAAACTAGTGGAAGATCTCAGTGTGTGACAGAGTCATATTCAGAGGCTCTCGGTCAGACCTCATTTAAATCTCTTTTCTGCATTCACTATATTAAACAAACAACTTCCTATTGTTTGTGAGTTTCACACTCTTCTGGACGCCCTTGGTATTGCCCAAGCTGTTCATTTTAGCGCTTACATATTTTGATTTTGTTTAATATTGGCTCTGATGGTTTGTTCACATTTTAAAAAAATTTTTTAAGAGACTGGGTGCAGTGACTCCCTTCTCTAATCTTACCTTTTTGGGAAGCTGAGGTGGGAGGATTACTTGAGGTCAGGAGTTAGAGACCAGCCTGAGCAAGAGTGAGACTCCGTCTCTACTAAAATAATAGATACCTTAGGGGAGATGGTGGTGGTCTGCTGTGGTCCCAGCTACTCAGGAGGCTGAGGCTGAAGCAGAAGGATTGCTTGAGCCCAGGAGTTTGAGCTTGTTGTGAGCTAGTCTGAGGCCACAGCACTCTAGCCAAGGTGACAGAGCGGGAAAAAAAAGTTAAGGATGAGGATCTGATTTAAGCATTCATTTCAAAACAGGATTTTGTTGCAAAAATAGTTGAAACCACTGATCTGATTTAATCTTACTTTGCATGGAGATGTTCTTGTAAGATATGCTTGGCAGGTGGCTATCCAGACTTGAATCTTTCCAAAGAGTAAACCTAACTTTCACATGACACCCTATCCATTTTGGAATGCTCAAAAAATTCTTCCTTACACTATTATCCAAAACATGCCTACTTTTTCCAGTAAGACTTCGTTTTCCTGTAAGACTCAGCAATCCCAAGTAATTTCCTGTTCCGGATGACAGCCAGGAAATATATGTAAATAGCTCCATTCTTCATTCATAATTGCCTGCTAGTGGCACCTCTGTTTCTTCAACAGAATCCTTTCTAGTGATAAGATTGCTAGGCCTGATTCAATTCTGATCACCCTCTTCTAAAGTCCTCTAAATACTGTTATTTCTCCTCACATGTCTCTCCGAAGCATAATTCGGTATTCTTGATGTGATCCAGGCAACGAGCTAGGTATTAGGACTTTTATCCAATTTGATGCAAGCTCTGCTTTCGTAATCAACTTAGTAGCTTCAGTATGTGTAAGTTTCTTTTTTTCTTCCTTCTTTTTAAAGTAGTTTTCACAAAATGGGTTCATGTTAAATGTGTGGCTAATTGAAATCCTTTTTTTCCTGCATATCTTGTAGTTGAGGCCTATGGCTCTTCTGTTGTATTTCTGCCAGAGCTATAAACCGGAATGTATTTGTTAGGCCTGTCTTGATTAAATTGAATCTCATTCTTGGCCCATTGATGTTCTGTCCTAGAATTCCCCAGGGATTTCTCTACAGAAAGGATTCTATGGCCACATACCATGCTTCCCTTAGAGAGTCACAGTACGGCATTTGCATAAAAGCTACCAAGAAGTACTGTTGTAATGCGGGCTATTGAACTTTGTTTAATACACCATTTATTTTAGCACCACACATTTTTTTCTTTATTTTTTCTTGCTTTCTCCTTTTTTTTTTTACAGCATAACATTTGATTACATTACTAAAGATAGACTTCCAGAAAACACTCCCCAGACCTATTAGGAGAATGTTGATTTTAAGAACTATTCCTTTAAGATCGTGTTAATTGTAGATTTGGTAACCATGTTTCTTATAGTTCTATCCAGCTAAATAGTTACGATATTAATTGCAGAGGGTCAAGAAGGAGTTCTTTACATACAGGGTTATTCCTAGATTGATATGAATAGGGAAGAAGGGCTATTCTTGAGGGTATTGGAATAATTTCAGAACTGTTGTGCTTTCTTGGGACATAATAATCCTAGCTCATAATTTTGGGACTTAGCAAGAAAAGTTACTGTTACTGTAGGAATTTAGGTCTCCTCTGATGGTCTGATGTTAAAAATCAGGTTATTTCTTCTTCATCATGATACTGTTCATGATTTTTCTGTTATTGTTAATGGTTTCATGGTCATACATGAAAATTCGTTCAGCAAACTGTGTTGAACATTGTTATTACAATATTATAATAAACGTTATTACAGCATTTATCCCATTGTTTATAAATAGCTGATAATTCATTAAAAACTCTTTTATTTGAATACTCTAAAACAGGCTTTAGTAAATGCCGAACCAATCCCAGTCCTCAGTTTTTATATCCTGGAAATTGCTTAAATTATAGGCTATGCACAATAGTGAAACACAGAAAAATGAAAATTGCAATGCTGCCCATGTTCCAAAAAATGGGGAATATTGATTTAATATTTAGAGTTTTCTAAAAACCTGTAATACTGTTGTATGAATATTTATCCCAGTATTAAGAACCTTTCCTGTGATACTGTGTTTCTAGTCATGAGAATTTTAAGGGAAGATATTTGTCTTTTCTGTTCTTTTCGGAAATGATAAATCCTCTTCATTCACACATAAGATTATTCTTGATGTTTCTGTATGAAGAGAGAAGTACAGAAAATTTTTATCTTTTCTAAGCTTCATTAAGTATCTGTCTTTACTAGGTTTATAAGAAATGATTTTATACTTTTTTTTCTTCTCAAACCCTAGTGGCCAGTGACATTTAGACATAGCGAGGAAAGAAAATTTACCAATTGGGCTTAAAAATCTAAGGAAGTAGAGGAGGAAAAATTAACAGCTCCTTTAAATGACTGATATGTGATAAAATTAAGATTATATCCATGGCATAGCTTAAAAGTGATGCATGCCACTTTTACTCTAGGTAAAATCATGCAGTTGAATCGATGTCATAACGATTTACATTTTAACTGATATATGTAGGGTGAGGAAGGGTTGTTTGAGGACTCTGTAGGTATAGAAAAATACATTTGATACTCCGTGGGTTTCTGTGTTCCCTTCTTAACATCACTTGGGTCCTGATTTTATAGGAAGTCTGAACTTCGCATTAACAAAGCCTCACTTGCTGATTCTGGAGAGTACATGTGCAAAGTCATCAGCAAACTGGGAAATGACAGCGCCTCTGCCAACATCACCATCGTGGATTCCAACGGTAAGAGATTCCCGCTGCATTCTGCTCCTCCGTCTGTAGGGGGCGTGATCAAGACCCGTGGTAAGGCGCCCCAGAAATGGGTGTGTGAAATCTCATTGTGAATACATTAAAAACAGAGGAAGAAAACCCGGCCTTTCAAGTATCTTGTGTGTCCTCCAGAAACCCATGTATACACCTGAAATATGCACAGATTTCTAAAAAAGATCTGAACAAGGCCATGAGTAGCATGGATAGGATGCCTTGTTAAAAGATGGAGGTTATCGGTCCTTGTGTTGGTTGGGAAGGGCAGTCAAATCTTTGGCTTTGTTAACAACAGAACACAGTCATTCATATATATGGATGCATGCCCAGAATATATTTATATACACATACAAAATATTATGTCTACATACCTGTACATATATTAACGCATGTGTATAGTGCGTCTGTGTGTACATGTACACGATACAGTCCTGACTCAGTATCAGCCATTTTTATGCCCACATATGTTTTTAAATGATTACATCTGGCTCTAGGTAGGAGAAGGTTAGGCCTAGTAAATTTTTTTTTAGGCCTATTAATTTAAAAATTAGGGAGAGTCTCAGAGGCAGTGGGTTTCTAACCATGCATAGGCTTTAGCCTCAGCTTATCTCAGAGCAGCCCCAGGGAATATTTGTTTAACAATTGAACGCCTTGGAGGTAGAAAGCCCCACCTACCCTCTGAGTCATTTCTGAGTTTTTTTGTTTGTTTGTTTGCTTGTTTTTTTTGAGACGGAGCCTCAAGCTGTCCCCCTGGGCAGAGTGCCATGGCATCACGCTCACAGCAACCTCCAACTCCTGGGCTCAAGGGAGTCTCCTGCCTCAGCCTCCCAAGTAGCTGGGACTACAGGCGCCCGTCACAATGCCCGGCCATTTTTTGGTTGCAGCCATCATTGTTGTTTGGCGGCTTGGGCTGGGGATTCGAACCCGCCACCTTAGGTGTATGTGACTGGCACCTTAGCCACTTGAGCCACAGGTGCCGAGCCTCATTTCTGAGTTTTTTAGGGAAAGTAGAAGCCTCCGGCTGGTGGCTCTCTGTTTCATAATACCCCTGCACTCCACAATTTGATAGAGTTGTCTCCAGGAGCTGACAGAAACTTAGCAATGCTTCTTAAAAGATCTTGGAATAATCAAATGTCACTTCAAAATCTTTGGTGGTGCTTCCCCTTTTGGAATTAGGCCAGTTAACTATTGCCTTTCCAAAGGCATCTGTTACAAAACCAAGCCTAGGTGCATGGCTCCTTGGTAGTAGATTAAGAAAAGGGGAGGGCAAACTAACTTGAAGGGTTAGTTCAGTGTTTTTCCACCTTTTTTATCTCTATAGGGCACAGGTGAGCCTACAGGTAAATCTCTGTGGCACATTTAAATTATGTTGACCTAAAATAAAAGAGAAAAAGAATATGCTTACTGTGCTTTGGACTTCTTTCAAAAGTAATTTAATTAATGATCTTTTTTTTTTTTTAATTTCTTCTTTTTTTTTTTATTGAATGGTAACTGTGTACATTGATGCACTTTGGGGGTACAGAGCCTTCATGTAACTTTCTTAGTTATTATGTTAAAACATTCATATTCTACTCATAAAAAGATTCACTTGTACCCTTGTAAGATGAACCACAGAAGTAAAAATTCTTCGCAGGACGCCTAAGAGCCTGTTACTGCACACCGGTTGAAAATCACTAGGTTAATTCCCTGGGTGACTAATGTAG